TTGATCTTTTTAACTCAATAAATTAATCCAAGACTAAGCTTTAAAAAATAAAGTCGAATAATACAGATAACGAAGTAACAAAAGCAGTGAGTATGTGGGTTGTTGCACCCATGAAAAACTTGTCTCTGCCAAACAGCATTTTCAGATGTTGCTATTGACTTGTTTTGAGCTTCTGTTACCCCAGGTGCTGCCAATCACCTGTGAGCATGGGCCCTGCTACAGTGGTCAGTTGGGGTCTCCTCAAAGCATGCCACGTTTGATTGATCTGGATAGGGACCGTGCCATAGGGCTACTTCAAGCTGGTGTTCTGCACAACCAGTTGCAGCATTATTTTGAGTGAGGCCTAGTTGTATTTCAACAACCTTTATTCTCATTTTACATTTTCTGATCACACAAATAATCTACTGTGGCTTCATTCAGCACCTTAGAAAGCCTGATTTAATGTTTTTTATAGGAACATAATTTGTGTCCCTTTTGTAATGCCGGGTTTTTATTGTTTCTTCCCTGTATCCTTCCACTATCCACCTATCGTTCTTTCACATTTCCTGGTTCGTTGTATAGCTGTTTGGACCAAATGTCCTTCTGAGGGATCATTAAAATGTCATTTTAAATTATGCTTACAAAGTTGTATGTGCTGTTTTTTTGTCACAGATGACGAGTCAGTCAGAAGAGAGCACAGAGAAAAACTCATCCTCATTCCTCCTGGATCACGTCCTTAAAACGGTTGTCTCTCAAGTCGTCATCCTCCCTCCTGATGTTTAAAAATGTTCTCCTGAACCCTAAGCGGAAGCAGCACTGGCGTTCCGCAGGGATCTATACTGGGCCCACTTTTATTCTGCTTGTATGTAAATGACCTGCCATCTGTGTGTCCTGAGGTTAACATTCAAATGTATGCTGACGATACAGTTTTGTATGTGCATGGTTTAACAAAAGCAGAAGTTGCTTCAAAACTAACAACCGCAATGGTCAAAATTACAGCATGGCTTAATCAGTGCTGTCTCCAACTTAACGTGTCTGAAACTGTTGGTATGTTCTTCACTAAAATAAATGACTCAAATATAGATCCAGATAAACTTGTGTCAGGAGAAAAACTACAGATTGTAAAAGAATTCAAATACCTTGGCATTATACTTGACTCCAGCCTGAACTTTAAAGCACATGTAAAAAAGTCTGTAAACAAATTAAATTTAACCTTGCCAACTTCAGATTTATCAGAAACTCCATGTCTACTGAAGCAGCCAACATGTACATGCATTCAATGATTTTCTCATATATGACCTACTGTATGACAAGCTGGTCTCAGGCAAGTCACACCACATTAAAACCACTACAGTCTTTGTATAAACAGACAACAAAAGTTTTAGACAAAAAACCAAAGCAGTTCCACCACTGTTCAATCCTCAGAAAATACAACCTCCTGAGCTGGGAGAACATGATTAAACACAAAAATGCTCCTTTTTAAAATCTCCCATGGTTTGGCCCCTCCCCCACTCAGAGAGTTTGTAAGCATGCGAACAAACACACATCACTTCAGGAGGGGTGTCTCAAGAGGCGACTGCATTATTCCTCTAAGGAAGTGTGTTTTTAGTCAGTCGGCCTTTTCTGTTCCAGCCTCACATGAATGGAACAACATCCCAACAGTTATCAGAGAGAGCAACACATATCGTTCATTTAGTTCACATCTGAAACACTGGCTATTTGATAACCACATCTGCCAGCACTAAACCTGTTCCGCTCGCTGCTGCCCCCTTGTGTCTGGTTGTTGATGAATGTGGCCTGCGTGTTGTTGTCTGTTGAGGTGAGCTTCAGGTATAGCTCACTCAATGTTTTATGTGGCCTTGTGTAATTTGTAATTTGTACATGTTTATTGTATATTGTGTTACATGTTGTTTTGTTGTGTGCACGTTACAGTTACTTCAGTAGGTTATTGGATACGTGCTTTTACTAATACTTGTTTTTGTAGCTTTTAGCAATGTTTGAATTTTGTTTTTTTTAGGGAGCCTTTTATAAAATCTGGCCAGGGACAACAGATGAAAATTAGCCTTTTGGCTAACTCTGGCATATTTACTGAAATGTTTATTAATATGCAATGTCCCTGTAAATAAAAAAAAATTAAAAAATAATAATCTTAAATTGTAACTAAAAAAATATGCCAAAAAGAGATTCTGCGAGTTGCTATTCTGGATTGGATCCATTTCTCTTTACAAAGAAAATAAAAACTTGCATGAAACACACTCCCCCCCCCCGACTGCTTCTTTTAATGTGATGTCGGAACAAGAGTCCAAAATATACAGCTGTTAAATTTAAATACACGAGAGAGAGAAAAAATAAAAGAAGAGGCATACTTAGTAATTATCAAACAAAAACATTTTGCTCTATTCTGTGAACTTTTGGCATCAAAACAAATGAATCCAAACAGCAAAGGTTTGTCCTGAGCTTTTTTAGTTTTGGACGTGTTGGTGATTCAACACAGCTACATCCTGGATATCTCTATATTATTTCTTAGTTTAAAATCATGAAAACAATCGAGCATTTGTATGCTTTTGTTTCTGTAAGTTACAGCGCTTCATACATATTTAAAAAAATATAATTGAAGAATAACAGGATAGAAAAAGAAAAAAATGTATTCAGCCTTTTTACAGATAGCAAGAGACAGCTTGTTTATTTGTAAAATCAACGAGTGAAACATAAACATCTCTTCATGTGAACACATTGCATTTAATCAGCAGGAGGGGAATTTGAAATCCATGGCTTGGATTGAAGGGGAGATCAATTCAAAGTTTGTAATGACACATCGGTGTGGGGTAACTGCTCAGAAATTCACATTAAAAACGAGACAGGTTTTCCCTTTTTCAAATAGGCAGACTGAGGAAAAGACAGTGGACTACAACAGGCTGCAGATACACATGCAGTGATGTCACCAGACCAGAGTCAAAGATCCGCTTCTCGAGCTTTGAGAGACTAGCAGAAAGGAGGGAAACTAGTCGGGTGATTAAAAACATTAGCACACCATAAAAGACAAAAATCCACTTTTAACACCCAATAGGACCGTCTCACTCCTCAGACCCCCCCCCCCCCCCCCGACTTCAAGTAATCCCTCCAGCACTTCCATCACTTCAAGTATTCCCGCCGTAGACTTCAAAACTTCAACACCACTTCTTAGGTTTTTACCACATAAGCTATGATATAAGTGCACTCAAAGTTCATCTATACATAGAAAAATAACATTAAAGTAGCGGCGGTAATAGTTTTAACAAATCACTTTACAATTTCATTTTATACACAACCGTGATGTTAAATACCGTGGCGTCACAATCCCCCACCCCCTGAGTGTAATGTTCAAGTTTAACCTTCTGTGTGGATGCTAACCGGCAACCTTAGTCGGGTTATTTAAATACCATTAGTAATAACTGACAGCTCCAATGATTAGACTCTGAGTCATTCTTCCTTTTCCACAGACCCCTTGTGCTTGTGTGTGTGATGCATTATGTACAAGCTGCTGATCGATCAGCCTGCTCGCTGCAGTCAGACACTGACAGCCTTCATCCTGGAAAAAAGAAAAGAAAACAGCGTTATACAACTCATACAACTCTATGCAGATGTTGACCACATGTGATTACATTATATTCTCTTATTTATAGACTCTTATTTGTGTAAATATTTCTTGTACCAATTATTAAAATCTTACTTACATATTCTATTTGATTAATATTTGTATTTCTATATTTCTCCTGCTATATTGTTTATTTTGGAGCAACTGTAACGATCCCTCTGGGATTAATATAAAGTATTTCTGATTCTGATCGACTGTAGTGTGAACACCTTGAAAGGTGTCACTCTGACTTACTTTTAGTCTCTCCGATGGAGCGGACCGCCCGCCTGCCTCAGGAGCCGGAGACGATGCAGCTCCGGCATTTGTACAACTTGGGGTCGTGGGTGCGGATGTGGTTTCTTACATTTCTCAGTCGAAAGAACGTCTTACTGCAGAGCTACAGAGCAGAGAGGGAGAAGTGAAGGCAAAGTTTACTGAAAGAAAGTCAAGTACTCCCCCGTGCAGATCCTTCTGGTGGGGAAAAAATAAATCCTAAATAGGGAAAGAGGTAGAACGGCCTTTCAACATCACTGACTGATATAAACATCGATTAGTTAAATACACATTTCAAAGTTTATTCTATCACAATCGACCATATTTTACAAAACAAAGACACAACGCTTTAAAGTCATCTGTAAGTGGAGAAATATAGTTTAATTGTAACAGACAGCTTCAGCTCATAAAATGAGAATATCGTGAACATTTTTATTTTGTTCCCATATTTTATTATGAAGTGAAATTTCTAAATATTCTAAATTCTTTAGAAATAAAGTAAAATATTTCAAGCCTTCTTTTGTTTTAATCTTAATGAGCTCATAAAAAAATGAAAATCAAAGATCTACAAATATTAAAATATTACATTAAAACAATGAAAAACAGGAAACAGGTTATGAATCAGAGAAATTAACATTAATGTCTATTTGTGACCTTCAGTTATCTTAAATGTCAGAAACTGCTGTTGTGGGGAAAGGTGTCGGACGGTTTTCCGTGCCAAATATTCAGGATGATTTTGCTTCATGCAAAACCAGTGCTTACCAGACACGGCCAGTGCTTCCCCTCGATGTGCCTGAGGCGATGCATGATTAGAGCGTCGCAGTCCTTGTAGGAAGTCGGGCACTGCAGACAAGCGTGGGCCGCCTTCGGGAGTTTGGGGACTTGACTACGAGGCCCGCGGAGCTGCTTTAGCCTGGCCCGACTTACAGCATCCGTCATGACGTAGCTCCTGCTGCTCAGAGGGAGGGGCGGAGCTTGTTGCTGGAAATGAGAGGGAAAAGAAAATCAAGGATGAAAATTACTCAAGATGTCTTCTACATGAAAAATAACAGAAACGATGAAAAGGAAAGAGGGTGAAGGGATAACTTCATAAATAATTCCTGCTACTTGTACAGATTATTACTGAGGTTCTCTTAAGCCTGGCTCACACTGTGCGATTTTCCCCCGATTGTTTAAGTCGGGGTGTCATGTCAGCTCACACTGTACGACTGAATCGTTTACGACGCCCTCCAGACCTTGAGATCGACGTGCTCACACTGTATGAGCCGATTGTCGGGCACGGCCGGAGAGCTCACACTGTACGAGTGAAATCTGGGCGGAGCGTTGACAATTGTTAATAAAGTTTCATTTGAATACTCCAACAGACGGCGGTTGGTGAAAGAGAAGGAAGTGGAAGTTGTTGTAGGATATAGAAAAGTTGATACAATCGTAGATATATGGAGACAAGTTTGTGCTGCACTGATGATCTGTACAGAAAAGTAAAAAACGGGTTGCGTCCTGCTGGTCGCCATGACTACAGTCCTCCCTTGTCTGATTATATTGTAGTCACACACAACTTCTGCCGGACCCTTTCATGACAAAATCGTCAAGATTTTAAATTCTAAATATCAAACATGTTTGAAATAAATCGGGGCGTCCCCGACGATCGCCGGGCAGATCGGGGACGTTAAGATTGGATCTTTGGACCGCTCACACTACGAGATAATCTGAGCAGAGAATCGGGTCCGAGCAGCCTCGAGTCGGGAGAGACCCTGAGATTGTTGGGAAGGAAGAATCAGAGCTCAAATCTGCCCGATGATCCTGCAGAGTGAGCCGGGCTTTAGGTACGCTGGTGAGGTGGATTGTAGGCTACACCAGTAAAGATCTAGTGTTGTTCTTTGCTGCTCTGCTCCTGGATGGTTTATAGTGCATCAAAAAAAAATCACTATCAAGGAGAACTCCTATATTTACCTTTGGCTTGGTGGGTTTGGCCTTTGAGCGGACCGCCTTAGTCGTGTGATGAGCGTTGTTTCTTGAGTTGGGCCTCGGTCTCTGCGCCTTGCTCTGACTCACACTCCTCTCCTCCCTCTCTCTCTTCACCACAGTCAGAGGGGGCGCTCTCGCTCTGAGCGTCCTGTGAGGAGAATCCTGCGTCGCTCCAAATTTCTCCCTGACTTGCGACACGGACCGCGTCAAGCAGATATCCACGCTCTCCTCCTCTTTCTTCAGCACGGCCATGGCGCCCCCCGCGGGCCGACAGAAGCTGAACAGGAAGCCCGAGTCCAGCAGCTTGATGGGCGGCTTGCTCTGCCTTTTGCCCAGATCTGGCGAGGGAGGATCGGAGAAAGGCACGCCCACCGGCACGGGGTCTGCCGGCTCCTCTTTGATGACTTTGTAAAGAGGGTGGTTGTAGATGGAAGGGGGAGGGGCCTGCTCTGTAAACTGGAGACCGCAAGGTTCGTCATCAACCTTTGTTCTGGGTCTGGTATCCACGACCCCCCTCTGTCCTGGACCGTCCACCTTCTTCTCCACCTCCTTCATGAAGCCCCGCCTTAGCTTAGCCTTAGCCGCTGGTCGCCCGCTGTTGTACCGCAGCACTCTCACCGTCTCCACAGGGACTTTATTTCTCGCCTGCGTCCTCTGTGCGGTCGGGGACTTTTTAGGTGCGACACCGCAGCTGCCATTTGATGGAAGTGAAAAACCTGAGATGGAGAAGTCGTCGGCCGGCTCCTGCTTGATCCTGACCACAGTTTTGTTGGTTTTGTGTCGCGGAGGCTTCTGAGGGTGGGCGCCTTCCCCCCTCCTCACCGACTGTCTGAGCTCCCTCCCACCAACGCACGGCCTCCTGGCTGCAGGCAGAAACATGTCAGGTATCGCACCTTTACTCCGCATGCTCCTGTCACTGGGCGGGACGTGTCGGGAGACGACCTTAGGCCTCTTCGTGGTCATGTGATCGGCGGTGAGACCCGTTAGCTTGGGCTTCCCCGACTTGCTGAGGAGGCGAGTGTTGACCGGGTTACAGAGAGGAAGCGACAGCGTCACGTCCCCGTACGGCAGTCCCGGCGGTGAAGCGGAGCGAGGTTTCCGCCTCTTCGTGAGCGAGTAATTGTTGGCCTTCAGCTTCCTCAGTCGCTTCTTCTGCCTCCAGCCGATCAGATCTTCGGGTCTGGGCAGGAGGGCGGTCCTCTGTAACCCGAGGACGTTCATCAGCTTGTATTTCTCCTGCGCCCTCGCGTAATCCTCCTCGTCCACTGCGACCTCCTCCACCTCTTGCTTCACCCTCACGGGGCTGCATGCGGCGCCCTGCCTCGTCCTGGAGGAGGGGCACAAAAGCCGGCCGATGGGATGTGGTTTCTTGTTCCGTCGAGGCGTCTCAGGCTTCGGGAGAAACCGCTGAACCTCCTCGGCGGCTCCGGGAGTCGAGCGGAGCAGACGGGTGTTCGGCGGCGACTTGGTGGGCGAGTAGTTGTGAGACTGCGGGGAGCACGCGTTGTGTCGGGGCGTGGTGGCTTTCTTGGAGGAGGGAGATTTAAAGTCCATGAGCTTCATCCTGTGTGTGGGACTCAGAGGGAGACCGTTGGGGCTTTGGCGTTTTGGCGTCCTTCGCAAATTCCGCCTCGGACTTCCATCAAAAGACTCGTCGGACGCGTCCAGAGTCAGACTGAAACTTTTGTCCATCGTGTCCCCGAGTCCCAGAAGCCCTCTCTTCTTGTTGTCCCTCTGCTGGCGGTGACAGGCGAGGGGAAATCCTTTGCCGTGTCGAGGTTTCTGTTCCCGCTCTTTCATGAGAGCGGCGCACGCCTCCACGGCGGGCCACATGCCCAGGTGGCGGGCCATGGCGATGACCTCGGGTAGGTCCTCCTGGCGAACGCACAGAGTGGAGGAGTAGGAGAAGTCCAGCAGAGACAAAAGGCTGTCCTCACTGAAGCCTGAGGGGGTAAAAAAAAAGAAAAGAGCTTTCATTAGATGAAGCCTGATGGTCAATCAGAGGGTGAGGTGAAAACGTCTCAGTAGAAACACAAAGACAACATGTCAACATGATGGTGGAGACTTTAATCTGCTCAGATATAAATCTGATCTGATGACACATATCAGGGCCCGACATTATAACTGGTCCAGATGAAAGATTGACAGAGTCCGGGGCCAGTTAAAATACTGCCTAAAAAATAAAACGGACAGTAACACGTTCCTGTCATATCGGTGTTTTGTCAGTAATTATTTTTAAAACGTTGTGCTAATAACTGCTACAGCATCAACGTATCAAGTGATCGTGTGAGCGCTCGTGTGTCACAGTTGAAAGGCAGCCGACGGCTTCACTGCTGTCACTCCTGCGCTCGCTACTCTTGAATTGTAAACTCGCACACAGATCTCAGCGCAGGTTTTCTCTGATAAAAAACACGTTTGGTAAAACGGTTTTAAAACCTTCAGATCTCAACAAAAGCCGAGTTTAAATCAGCTTTCAAAGGGAAAAAATCACCTGAAGAGTGGAGAGTGACAGCAGGACGAAAAGAGAGAAAAGTTTGATCCACAGTGACAGACAGCTGGAGGAGCTGGAACACGTTAAAGTTAAAGACTAGATCCTGCTAAAGATAAAAGTTATTCACAAAACATGTTAGCCCTTAAGAGAGCTCCTAAAGTAAAGATGTAAGGATGAAGAGTTTCTCACAGAGAAGAAAGAAGGAGAGATTCAGATCTATCACAGCCTCATATTAATATCACATTAAGTAGACTCTTACAGTTAGCAGCATGGTGAATAAACATGAGCACATAAATATGAGAAGAATACACAATATGTTTATAATTAGAGCTCAATTCATTAAATAAAAGTTGTAATTGACTTTTGCATCAGAATGGTTCAAGAGTAAATTGGTGACTGTTATTCTTCGAATCAAAAGTAATGTTCCTGGGCCAGCGGCTACATGGGTCGGGCCACTGATCTCTGAAAACCAGTGGACCGGAGGGCCAGTGATCTCTGAAAACCAGTGGACCAGAGGGCCGTATATCAAAGACACAAGTATATGAGCAGGCAGATTTTGGTTGAGTCCCAATTCAGACCAAACATGTCACAGCAAACTGACGACCTTTCTAAAAAAGAACAGTAAAGCTGAGATATGCAGTAATCTGTCACCTGTAGTATCAGCACTGTCTCTCTTTCTCCAACAGATCTTTGATAATGACTGATGATGATGTCAACTCAAGTCAGGTATTGTCATGTGACTGCATTCAAGAGGGGATTCATCAGATATCAGATATCAGATAACTGCTTCACCATTTGGAGGGTCGATATAATAGATGAAAGAGAGGACTTGTGTTGGATCAGATTAATCACAGGACTTACAAAAGAAACATTGCTGATAAACATTTACATTTATCATTACATCAGTCAGAGAGATGAGCTGATCAACACAATAATCATCAGTGATGTGATTTCAGACTTTTTAGAGAAAACTTTTAGGTTGGAAGCAACATGTCGAGGTGGTCATACGGGAACGAGAGCTTCCATTTGTGCAAAACAGAATGTGGAATGATTCACTGCTGAGTATTAGACTGCAGTGTTTCCTCACTGTTTACATTCACTTTGAAATGTAACAGAAGAACAGAGTAGATAAAGAACTATGAGACACCTAATGGGTCAGCATTGACGCTGAGTTTTTGGTCATGTCTGGAATTATGGGTAATGTATTCCCTAGTAGGTGTTGAGTATTAGTATCCAGCTGTTTGTTTTGGGGTCATCTTGTTGCCTGAGTTATTACTGAATTCTGATGTTTGGGTTCTGATGTTGGTTGGTTGGTCGGTTTGGGTTCTTCTACTGTCGAGGTTTTGTTGTTGTTGGTTGGGTGTATTTTCTGTGGGTTGCTTTCAGAAAACTTTGTTGTGATTTTCTGTTGTGATTTGGGTTCTTATGTGTTGTTGTTAGGTTTTTTCTTCTGCATTGTCAAAGCACTTTGTAAAACCTTGTTTTTAAAAAGTGCTATTCAAATAAAGTTTTTTGTTCGAGCTGGCGTCAAAAACCCAAGTTTGGGTCTGACTCTGTAACAGTGGTTAGAGAAGGTCAAGATGGGTAACTGACTACAGTGAACACCTTCAAACAGACTCTTTAAGGTATTCCTAAAACCCCTTTCAAAACGTGCACTCATGAAAATGTTTCAATATGCATGTGTGAACGCAAACAGCCGGATCCATCCACACTGACTTTATGCAGACTCCTCCTCCTGCATACATCACTCAGCTATAATCTCCCACTGTGAGGTGCATGTATGAAAGACAAGTTCTGGAAAATATCAGGGGCTGTGTGTCCTGGAAATATCTAGAGCATGTCAGGAGTTCATGTGTAACAAGGTCTCTTAGTGTTGTAGAAACTAAAATAATGACCTTTAACAACTGAATGAGAGAAAACATTACGACAGAAGTTCAAACCCAATTCAGTTTTCACCTGAACACACGTGTGGCTGATTGGTGCTTTACATGGGTGTAAGTTATGGATACAGTATTATTAAATTATTAAAGTTTAATTTTTGTTAAAAAAAAAAGAAAAAAAGGTGTTTAACAAATCTAAAAGGTTGGTTTGATTCTTTTTTGTGAGTGTGACTTCTGTTTTGTTTTTTGTTTGTTTTGTTTTGAAAGAAATTCTTGGAACAAATTTTGTTCTGACATGTTTTGTTTTTTTTGTAACCAAACTAGTCGTGTCTTAAATAATAAGATTTGTAACGAGGGGCGGTGTAATAAGATGAAGCTTCAGCCTACACCTTTTCAATCAAAGTGTTTTTGTTTTTTCTTGTGACCAAAATAAATGATTACTACTACTTATTGGATAGTGCAATGCTCAAACTGTTCTTACAGTTGGTGTCAACAGGGAGGGACTGACTCCATCAGGGCACAAGGTGCAGACTCTTTCAGGTTTTTATACGCGGCCCCCTTAACTGAGAGAAAAGCACAAGCAGTGATGTTCTCTCGTGTTAGTTTGGCCTCTAGTTATCTGATCTTACCGGTGAGATCTATGTCTGCTTTCATGCCTGAATCCATGTCTGTGAAGATTTCCTGGAAGTGATCGCTGACGGCTGCCAGCACGGCTCTGTGGGCCGAGTAGGATCGCCCGTTTGTCCGCAGGGTGATGTCACAGAAGAGCCCCGCCTCCCGCTGACTCCTCAGCTTGCTCAGCATGTCGGTGCCGTGCGATGACATCGTCTTAGTGACACATCTTCTACCACCCTGCTCCTGGGGGGCGACAACAACAGAGGCAGATACGGAGGCAGGGTTATACAAATAAATATGTGAGAGAGGGATTGTTGGAGACATTAAAGTGTGAGGACAGGATTAACAACCAAAACAACCAAAAGTATTTGAAAGATTAAAGTCTTTATATGTGATGTTTTGATCCAGCAGGTGTCGCCCTTGAGCACCAGCATGAAACCAAAACAACTGGCGCTGCATTGTTGTGTTAGCATGCTAATGCTAGCGATCTTTATTATGCTGGTATCTTCACACTGCATGTAAATTTACCTGAAATGAGCGTGATCTAGAAACACAGTTAAGCAGTGAGTACAGTATGTTATTCTTCTTTTCTCTAGTCCCTCAATTAAACAACTTTTATACACGAGGGGAGGAGTCAGCCGGCCGTCCTGGCGATGTAAACAAAGTGAAGATAGGACTCTGAAAACTGTGAAAACATCACAGACAGTGGGACTCGGGTGTTACACCCATTGTAGACAGTCATGACTCACAGAGTTATTTTCAGAGGAGATACTTGATTTATATATTTAAGTGTGAAAAATCAGAGAGGAAGACTTTAAAAATAGGATTCTGATAATGATCACAGGACAGTGATGTGGTTTACCTCAGTGTTTTTGGTTTGCTGCCTCTGACACTCTTGACAGGCCAAGACAAAATCTCTGATCTGGAAGTACATCCCTGTGAAGAAAACACAAGAGGAAACTTCAGACAACACAGAAAAATGTCAAAGCAGGGATCAACATCTGTCTCATTTGAAATAATTCATATTTAAACAAGTGTCCTAATCTATGACTGATTTAATCATTAGTTGTTTAAGACACACAGAAATTAACAAACCCTTTTTGTTAAACATATGGACATTTTCTTTTATTATTAATATTTTCTCCCTGTTCTCGTCTTCTTTTCCTCCATCTTTTTATGATGGCCACATTAACACCAAACATTTTATTTTATTATATATATATATATATATATATATTTTTTTTTTTTTTTCTTTTCTTCTATTTTGTTTCTGTTTATTTTTCTTGCCACTCACTTTAATGCATCACACTGCCACACACACATTCACACGTTTCTTACACACTACTTCAACTTCCCACTTGACTTTTATTATATCTACTTTAATTGTATTTGTCTTTGCTCATGTTTTGCATATCTAGATTTTGTTTTGTTTATTTTTGTTTATTTGTCGTTGCTTTAATTGTCATGTCTATGCGCACATTTTAGTTTTGTACTTGTTCACCTCATCACAATAAACAAAATAAATAAATAAATAAACATATATAAGGCATGCAGTGATGTCCATACCCTCCCACCAGTAGTTCTCAGCCACACATTTGTAAGTCTCCTCCAGGGAGAGGTGATGCTGGCTCGGCCGGCGCTTCCGGTGGAAGGTGGAGAGAGCCTCGTGTCTCCGGTCCTCATCCAGAACCTCCCGGTAGTTGATGAAACCCTTTTCCAGTTTTTTGCGGTATAGCAAGCCTTCTATCATCTCAAAGTTGGAGGACCACCGTGCAGGGGGTCCACGCCCTGCAGAAGAGTTCCCGGCTGCTGCCTCCATCTCTCCGGCTTCATCCGACCAGCAGGAGGCTTTGGCCGGAGTGAAGGCGTAATGCGCGGTGGTGTGTGCGCAGTCACCGGCCATGTTAACCGGCGTTCACTCCTCAAAGTGTTTATTTCTTTAGAAAGAAACTGTGAAGGTGCAACAGCTTCTTCAAGTCTTTGTTGGGGTCTCTTTAACAAAACCCCCTCTGCAGAGAGAGAGAGCCAAACTTCACCCACTGACCTGATCCACGTGGATGAGGTGACAACAAACAACAACAAACAACAACAAACCAGACACCCCTTCAATATGATCTATAAACACTCAATTAATCCCTGAAAATTAGTGGAAATGTTAACTAAAGGCTACGAGTCTAAACAGATATCATTATGGCTTAAAAAGAAGAAAGTCTCCATCAGGATGGGGGGGGGGGGGGGGGGGGGGGGGGGGGTCCGCTTTGTACCGTCAGTCAGTCAGCATCACTTTAACTACCAACTAACATCTCAAATAAATCATCATAAACGTGTTCCGATGAGAGAACCTTCAGTCTGTGTCACTGTGTTGTTCACAGCGTCAGCAGAGAGGAAGAGTTCAGTCTGCAGAGGAATCAAACAACTCATGTGAAAAAGTCTCCAGAACCGGACTGCACCCCCCCACCCCACCCGCCCGCCCCCCCCTCCTCCAGCAGAACCGCCTCCCCTCCGGTGCTCACGGTCGGAGTGGCCTCCTCCGGGTCGGGATGACGGCGGGCAGCCCCACGCTGGCGTTAACTTCACATTTCTTTCCGCCAACTCGAGTAGAAGCGACATGATGACGCAGCGAGCCGCTCAGCAGCGCCGCTTCGAAACGAGCCGGAGAGAGAAAGAAAAAAAAAAAAAGCAGCGAGGCGACAAAACCCCGTTAAATGTCGCAATTCACGGCCGCTTCCGGTCAAAAAGATAAACCTTACACGCTTCTGGTTAAACACCCGACATAGTTGGTACCGCTCCCGGAGCCGTAGAACCGGAACAGCCCGTCAAATAGTCCAATTTCTAAACTCGTAACCTTCTGTTTGTTGCTAATCAGCAGCCTAACCGAGCTAAGTCCTTCCCCGCCTTCACACAAAGGCCATTAGTAGAAGCCCTAATGAGCCCCCCGCCAGACGGTCTGTGATTGGCCGACGGAGCTGTCAGTCAACTTAGGCAGCAGGGTAGGTTGTTCGCGCACGATGCCACTAGTATTTGTCTCACAGTCAAGTTAACCATGGTGCATCTTTCCTCTTGTGTTTATCAGTGACTAACAGATCATTGGTCAATTTAAGGTTTTACAGTTGAGATGTTTCTGGATGTTTATTCCACTGATCAGTTAGAAAAACATTTTATTTTCATGTTAAGATGTAATCTCAATGTCAGATAAATATGTTTATCAATAATCAGTTTGCAGTCTTTGTGGGTCCATTTGAACAACATTATTTAAATTCCCAAAACTAGAGATGTGTGGATCATACTGATGGAGCAGAAAGAATAACTCTCCTTTTATTTATGCTCTTATCTTAACTCCTCTTATGTTTTAACTTACTTACTTTGTCTATTTATGTTTTATATTTATATAGGCCCATACTTTTTTATTTTATAATTGATTCATTTGTTTCTCTTCCTGCTCTTTCCTTCTTATTGCTGTTCTCTTTTCATTTGCTTTTATCTCTTTTAGTTTCTTACATCTTTTTAAATCTTTGGTTCCTCTTGGTCTCAGCTCGTGTTCTTGGGTTCTTATGATGGTTCTTGTGATGGTTCTTGTGATGGTTCTTGTGATGGTTCTTATGATGGTTCTTATGATGGTTCTTGTGTTTCTTGGGTTCTTATGATGGTTCTTGTGATGGTTCTTGTGTTTCTTGGGTTCTTATGATGGTTTTGTGATGGTTCTTGTGATGGTTCTTATGATGGTTCTTATGATGGTTCTTATGATGGTTCTTGTGTTGCCTGGGTTCTTATGATGGTTCTTGTGATGGTTCTTGTGATGGTTCTTGTGATGGTTCTTGTGATGGTTCTTGTGATGGTTCTTGTGTTTCTTGGTTCTTATGATGGTTCTTGTGATGGTTCTTGTGTTTCTTGGGTTCTTGTGATGGTTCTTGTGATGGTTCTTGTGATGGTTCTTATGATGGTTCTTGTGATGGTTCTTATGATGGTTCTTGTGTTTCTTCGGTTCTTATGATGGTTCTTGTGATGGTTCTTATGATGGTTCTTGTGATGGTTCTTGTGATGGTTCTTATGATGGTTCTTGTGATGGTTCTTGTGTTTCTTGGGTTCTTGTGATGGTTCTTATGATGGTTCTTATGATGGTTCTTGTGATGGTTCTTGTGATGGTTCTTGTGTTTCTTGGGTTCTTATGATGGTTCTTGTGATGGTTCTTGTGATGGTTCTTATGATGGTTCTTGTGATGGTTCTTATGATGGTTCTTGTGATGGTTCTTATGATGGTTCTTGTGATGGTTCTTATGATGGTTCTTGTGTTTCTTGGGTTCTTGTGATGGTTCTTGTGATGGTTCTTGTGATGGTTCTTGTGATGGTTCTTGTGTTTCTTGGGTTCTTATGATGGTTCTTGTGATGGTTCTTATGATGGTTCTTATGATGGTTCTTATGATGGTTCTTGTGATGGTTCTTATGATGGTTTGTGTTTCTTGGTTCTTATGATGGTTCTTGTGATGGTTCTTGTGTTTCTTGGGTTCTTGTGATGGTTCTTGTGATGGTTCTTGTGATGGTTCTTATGATGGTTCTTGTGATGGTTCTTATGATGGTTCTTGTGATGGTTCTTGTGTTTCTTGGGTTCTTGTGATGGTTCTTATGATGGTTCTTGTGTTTCCTGGGTTCTTATGATGGTTCTTGTGTTTCTTGGATTCTTGTGATGGTTCTTATGATGGTTCTTGTGATGGTTCTTATGATGGTTCTTGTGATGGTTCTTGTGTTTCTTGGGTTCTTGTGATGGTTCTTATGATGGTTCTTGTGTTTCCTGTGTTCTTGTGATGGTTCTTGTGTTTCTTGGATTCTTGTGATGGTTCTTATGATGGTTCTTGTGATGGTTCTTATGATGGTTCTTGTGATGGTTCTTATGATGGTTCTTGTGATGGTTCTTGTGATGTTCTTATGATGGTTCTTATGATGGTTCTTGTGATGGTTCTTATGATGGTTCTTGTGTTTCTTGGTTCTTATGATGGTTCTTGTGATGGTTCTTATGATGGTTCTTGTGATGGTTCTTGTGATGGTTCTTATGATGGTTCTTGTGATGGTTCTTGTGATGGTTCTTGTGTTTCTTGGGTTCTTATGATGGTTCTTGTGATGGTCTTATGATGTTCTTGTGATGGTTCTTGTGATGTTCTTATGATGGTTCTTGTGATGGTTCTTGTGATGGTTCTTGTGATGTTCTTGTGTTTCTTGGTTCTTATGATGGTCTTATGATGGTTCTTGTGATGGTTCTTGTGATGGTTCTTGTGATGGTTCTTGTGTTTCTTGGGTTCTTATGATGGTTCTTGTGATGGTTCTTATGATGGTTCTTGTGATGGTTCTTGTGATGGTTCTTATGATGGTTCTTGTGATGGTTCTTGTGTTTCTTGGGTTCTTATGATGGTTCTTGTGATGGTTCTTATGATGGTTCTTATGATGGTTCTTGTGATGGTTCTTATGATGGTTCTTATGATGGTTCTTTGATGGTTCTTGTGATGGTTCTTATGATGGTTCTTGTGATGGTTCTTGTGTTTCTTGGGTTCTTGTGATGGTTCTTATGATGGTTCTTGTGATGGTTCTTGTGATGGTTCTTGTGATGGTTCTTGTGTTTCTTGGTTCTATTGATGGTTCTTGTGATGGTTCTTATGATGGTTCTTGTGTTTCTTGGGTTCTTGTGATGTTCTTGTGATGGTTCTTGTGATGGTTCTTGTGTTTCTTGGGTTCTTATGATGGTTCTTGTGATGGTTCTTATGATGGTTCTTGTGATGGTTCTTATGATGGTTCTTGTGTTTCTTGGGTTCTTATGATGGTTCTTGTGATGGTTCTTGTGTTTCTTGGGTTCTTATGATGGTTCTTGTGATGGTTCTTGTGATGGTTCTTGTGATGGTTCTTATGATGGTTCTTGTGTTTCTTGGTTCTTGTGATGGTTCTTGTGATGTTCTTGTGATGGTTCTTGTGTTTCTTGGGTTCTTATGATGGTTCTTGTGATGTTCTTATGATGGTTCTTGTGATGGTTCTTATGATGGTTCTTGTGTTTCTTGGGTTCTTATGATGGTTCTTGTGATGGTTCTTGTGTTTCTTGGTTCTTATGATGGTTCTTATGATGGTTCTTGTGATGGTTCTTGTGATGTTCTTGTGATGGTTCTTATGATGGTTCTTGTGATGGTTCTTGTGTTTTTGGGTTCTTGTGATGGTTCTTGTGATGGTTCTTGTGTTTCCTGGGTTCTTATGATGGTTCTTGTGTTTCTTGGATTCTTGTGATGGTTCTTATGATGGTTCTTGTGATGGTTCTTATGATGGTTCTTGTGATGGTTCTTATGATGGTTCTTGTGATGGTTCTTGTGTTTCTTGGTTCTTATGATGGTTCTTGTGATGGTTCTTGTGATGGTTCTTATGATGGTTCTTATGATGGTTCTTGTGATGGTTCTTATGATGGTTCTTGTGATGGTTCTTATGATGGTTCTTGTGTTTCTTGGGTTCTTATGATGGTTCTTGTGATGGTTCTTATGATGGTTCTTGTGATGGTTCTTGTGATGGTTCTTATGATGGTTCTTGTGATGGTTCTTGTGATGGTTCTTGTGTTTCTTGGGTTCTTATGATGGTTCTTGTGATGGTTCTTATGATGGTTCTTGTGATGGTTCTTGTGATGGTTCTTGTGATGTTCTTGTGATGGTTCTTGTGTTTCTTGGTTCTTATGATGGTTCTTGTGATGGTTCTTATGATGGTTCTTGTGATGGTTCTTGTGATGGTTCTTGTGTTTCTTGGGTTCTTATGATGTTCTGTGATGGTTCTTGTGATGGTTCTTGTGATGGTTCTTGTGTTTCTTGGGTTCTTATGATGGTTCTTGTGATGGTTCTTATGATGGTTCTTGTGATGTTCTTGTGATGGTTCTTGTGATGTTCTTATGATGGTTCTTGTGTTTCTTGGGTTCTTATGATGGTTCTTGTGATGGTTCTTATGATGTTCTTGTGTTTCTTGGGTTCTTATGATGGTTCTTGTGATGGTTCTTATGATGGTTCTTGTGATGGTTCTTGTGATGGTTCTTGTGATGGTTCTTGTGTTCTTATGATGGTTCTTGTGATGGTTCTTGTGATGGTTTTATGATAGTTCTTGTGATGGTTCTTGTGTTTCTTGGTTCTTATGATGGTTCTTGTGATGGTTCTTGTGATGGTTCTTATGATGGTTCTTGTGTTTCTTGGGTTCTTATGATGGTTCTTGTGATGGTTCTTATGATGGTTCTTATGATGGTTCTTGTGATGGTTCTTGTGTTTCTTGGGTTCTTGTGATGGTTCTTATGATGGTTCTTGTGTTTCCTGGGTTCTTATGATGGTTCTTGTGTTTCTTGGGTTCTTGTGATGGTTCTTATGATGGTTCTTGTGATGGTTCTCATGATAGTTCTTGTGATGGTTCTTGTGATGGTTCTTGTGATGGTTCTTATGATGGTCTGGTTCTATATGTCTGTTGGGTATCGTGCACTTTGGGTTCTTTTCTGTTGAATTGTATTTAATTATTTTTAGTATTTTACATTTGTTTTGTTCTTGTTGTTGTTTATGTTCTTCTGTGTTTGGTTTAGTTTGTTCTTGTTTTTGTTGTTTGTCAAAACACTTTGTAAACCTGTGTTTTTAAAAGGTGCTATTGAAATAAAGTTATTATTATTATTATTATTATTATTATTATTATTAAATTCATCACCCAGTTCCTTGTTAATATGTCAACATTGCTTGTTCATTAATGAATTTTAACATTCGCTGTTTTTGGACAATAGAGTAAACACACTGCTGTCAAATAATAAGAAAATATCATCAACACAATTCAGGAAAACTTTTCACCAGATTAAAACAAGTGAGGAGAAACGGTGAATGTATAATGTAGGGTAATGATTACTTAAAAACATTTTGAGTGTCTAGCCTGTTTAGATCATCCAGTTTATTTTCATTCAAAAAAAAAACAAAAAAAACAAACTGAGAAACAATTCATCAAAAAATTGGGCAAAAAATAAAATGTAAGACTTGAGTAATATTAAACCGAAATGTACACATCTTATTCACTCTATATATCCTGCCATCTTTTGTAAGGCATTGGTAATGAAGTTATTCACAATTAATGAGAAATGTTTGTACACACGCTTTGACACTCATTTAAATTCAACTCATAAATGTAACTATTAAAACGGTGGTTACCACTTTAAACACGAGAGCAGAATATTGTGTTGAATGGTAACAAGTCTAGTTTGCTTTTTTGTATTAAGGACATTCAGTGAAATCAGTCATCAACCTCAAAGTATGATTCACTTTTTGAGAAAAACTTTCATTGATGATCCAAAAAACTTTGATTTGTCTTTAGTGACACTGAATATAAGTTTCTGTTTCTTGCTGTGAGTTTGAAGAACATTAAGATCTTCATGAACTTAATACAAGTGTTAGACATTACAGGATAAACATTCAACAAATTTGACATTTGTTTGGTTGATTTTAAATCTTCTGACCCGATAATTCCCACCTTTTTAACAAATCCTTCTGCTTGGGATTTTAGTTTCGTTGAAATGAAATTTGTTTTTTATTTCTATTTTATTTTTTTCCTGTAGTACTTTGAGATTTTTTCTTGCAAAATGTAAAGTGCGGTACAAATTAAATGTATTATTATTAATTCTAGCCTCAGTCTTCAATACTTGGAAATAGAAATGCACATCAAGGATGAATGAAAGGCAACTAACAAGCCTGATGATAGTGCAAGAGATGAACACCTTCAAATATTTTAGTGATAGAACATGACTAATCCATAACCATTTTCCACAAACACACATCTCCTCAAAAGATCTTTTATTACATAATAAGAAAAGTGACTCTTAATATGCTGAAGTTTGACACTTTTCACTTAAACTGCTTCAACAGTGAAGACTCAGATTGTATTTTATAAACTCTCAAATTAGTACTCTCTAAAATGCTTCTTAAAAAAAAATAAATGCATTTTTAGTTTCAACATGTTTTTGATAGGAAGTGAGACTGAATTGAGGTGCCCGATAGCCCAGCTGTTGCATCACACGGCCCATTTGAGACCCAGTATCAGGTGAACTGGGTTAGATTCCAGCCCTCATCACTTAGCCGCATGTCATCTCTCTGTTTTCTAAACTTTCCACTGAATAAAGGCATCAAAACCCCAAAACTGATCTGAAAACAAGTGAGACTGAATGTCATGTTTTCAACAGCACTTTAATGCCAAACAAATCTAATGTAACATCATCAGCTCATTTACTATATGATACAAAAAACCACAATGACTACAAGAAGAGATAACTCACAGTTACTCACTGCAGTCTGTTTTATAAGTAAGTACATTATGTGGTGTTCTTCTAGTTCGATCAAGAACACATAATCCAACACAAACACAGTGCTATAGAACTGTGGTGTTGTTCATCCATGGAGAGCCCCAGTTTGTTTGTTTTTTCACTGAAACTTCCATCACTGTTTTTCCTCTGCTGTACATGTACTCCTATCGGACAACACACTCAAACACTGATCCCAGTAAACTCTAAGCCTTGGTGGAGCTGCTCTTTGCGGGGGGCTCGCTGGTCTTGGGCCGTTTGGACTCTGGGGGCTGGCAGACTGGATCAGTGGGAGGAGACGGGCGTTCTGAAGAAAAACAAATAAAGGAAATCAGTGACAGTTGAAATGAGACATGATAGCTTTATAATCGACAAGAATTTGTATGTAGCATGTAGGATCTTTGATTTAACAAATTAAAATAAGCATTTATGTAGCAGACCAACAAATAAGGTAGCATGTTTGAAAACTAATAGTTCCTTCACTGCTGACTGTTGGCTCTTATTTGGATGATTTAGGTGTTTTCAGAAGATAATGTGTTATAGCGTTCACATCCCATGTTTGTTGTTTTTAATGATTTTGACCTCTCACTTGGTTTGGTTATTAGTTTTCTGGAAACATTCCATGTGGAGGGCAATGTGTGTGTGAGATATAATCCTGGAACCAATCGTCTACTGTCTGAAAACAAATCAGCTTTTTATTCATCTAAGAGGAATCAGCCTGCCAGAGGAGATCAGACGTGCAGATTCAGTCCCTTGTTTTACATCCCTACTCAAGACATTCTTTTATAAAAATGCTTTTACTCTGTGATTTTGGTAATTGTTCTTATTTTTATTTTATTAGTCTGATTTTGTTTTCTGCTTGTTTACGCTCTGCCTGTTGCTTTAATTGTCTCTCTGCTTTTATTTTCTGTTGTAAAGCACTTTGTTACTTGTATAGAAAAGTGCTATACAAATAAAGTATTAGTATTATTATTATAAACCCTGTGCAGGAAAAAGGAGGTCAGATATCTGCTGGCTACACCTGAAGACACAACATGGAGCCGTCGCCTGCACAGGCTAAATGTGCCAAATAATGTCTTGTGGGATTCTAAAATATATAGTACCCAATGAGTTTAGAATCAAGATAGATACAAACTCCAGGGTTAGGCACCAAAGTGGTGTTTTTTGTTGTTGTTTTTTGTTGTTGTTTTTCCCCCTTCTCTACATCAACAAGCTCTGAACACCAACAATGTGTACACACTCACTTCCTGGTTTGACTTTGGCCCGCTGTGCTTTCCTTGGAACTCAGTTTTCCTGTTTATACAATGGCATATTATTTACATGTGTGTGTACTTCATTTTTATTACTGGAGTGGCATGGGTAATCAGAAAGTCCTAAAAGCTTGTTTACAACTTCTGACTGTGTGACTGCTTCAGCATTATACTCCACTGGTTTTCTTTCCCTTCAGCGTGTAAAAGTTTGGTTCACCCAGTGGGAATGATGCTCAAAACTACAAATATGAGCCCTGACCTGGGTCTTTAGCTTTTTCTTAAAAGATGCAATGACTTAATTGACTTAATAATTGGGGGTTTTGTAGATCAGCATTTTTGAAAGGTTACATCAATAAATAAAAGAAATTGAGCTTTTTGATCAAAGCTGCAAAATAAAAAAGGATAACTGTCCATCCTGTATTTGACATTCTTTTCAAACTTCTGTTGTGACATTTGAAACAAAAACAGCCAGAGAAAAAAAATGGACCCACTGACCGTGTTTGGCCTTCTCAGTGGACGAGGGAGTGCGGAAGAGTGAACTAACAGCTGGAGAGCGAACTGCGACTGGAGTCAAAGACACTCGCCTGTAAACAAATAGAAAAAATAAGCTTTGACAAAAAACACATAAATAAAAACATTAAACATCGATACCTTCTACAGTGAACAAAATGCTCCACTTCATTAATCCTGATTTAAGTTTTTTTTAAGCGTGGCAAAGCTAGTTAAAACCAAGGAAAACATTCAACATTACAAGTAAAAACACAGCAGCATGTGCCGACCTGCCCATTGTCTACACAGTCTGCCACAGTGATTATATTTTTTAGAGTCAGTGGGGGGTCCAACGAATCCTTCATAGCAGACAGGGCTTTGTTCTCCCTGCCAGAGCTGAGCGCATGCTAACCAACAAAGACCTCACAGGCCCGCTTCAAGCTAGTCACATTTCTGCATTCTTCAAGCTTCATCATTTCATTTTAAGTATTTAAGAACATTTCTCCCTCTGACTGTTCCTCTCTGTTAACTTTAGAGATAATCAGATTAGTGATTCAATCAGTTGAGGCAGGGAGCTGGACGTGTGTTCTTGGGGAGGTGCTTCCTCTGACTTCAGTCACAGCACATTTGAATAGTATTTTACTAAATGACAACATGTATTGTGTGAGCAATACTACATAGCACCCAGTGACTTCAAAAAGGACATCACTGAGCTGGATGTCGTGGGTGCAGTTTAACTGAGGAGGCTACGATGGAGGGTCCATTATGTAGTTTGTGTTTTTGAAATGTGTTTCCTGTACAGTGCAGGCAAAGCGGTACGCAGCCTGTGAGCCTGAGCTCAGGGAAACAAACCCCACTGATGTGTTTTCAGAGCGTCGCACACACATTTGAAGATATTTGTACGCATTTGTGGATCTTGCACGTCAGAGTGTTGTCACATGTAAAATAACAGCCAATGGCGAGGCCCGCCTCAGCTGTAAGCGATCATTTGTTTGTATTTTCAGGATTTACAGCTGAAAAAGTTCACTGCCATTAATAAATAAGTAAATGTTTAGAAACTGGTCTACATGTCTTTTTACTCATATTCAAATAGTTTTGCCACAATAATACTTATTGTGTATTGATGAAGCCCACCAGCACACGGGGGTCTCTCTTTATATATTCTTCTTAAAGCTTCCCGATGTGTCTGCACCTTCATGTCAACATGAACAGGTCAAACATAATGGGTTAGCATCATGTTTTTGTATAGTTAAGATTTAACCCACCTCTCTAGAAGGATTTTGGAGAAATGTCCCTGAAATCATTATTTGTTCAGATGATTGAAACTCGACAAACTTGTTTCCAACATGTGGATTTTTGTGGTTTGAGAAACGGTTGTAAAGAGTTGTTGCACTGAGAAACATGATCACATCATGTTCTCAAACAAATCTCAACTCTGCAATCCCAGCTCGTGCTCACTGAGTCGATTCATCTGAAAATGACTTCATGAATAAAGTGTCACTAACTTTTTAACGTAGGCGATGACAAATAAATACCTAAGTCGTTTGGTTGTTATGTTTTGAACGCATCATGAAAAACACGTTTTGGCAGTTTGGTTTGTTTACAGATGTTAGTCACAGGAACAGACAAAAACAACTTCATCACTTGTCTAAACACTGATATGCTCAGTGACATCACGACAGCAAACATATGAAGTATTAACACACAACTGTCATTATTAATATTTATGTGATCATGTCCATTCTAACGAGTTCCAGCCCGAAAACTGTTGAAGGTCACTGTCAGAGGTCACGTGCATTTACCTCGGTGTTGGTCCCTTTGGGGTTGTTGGTCCCTTAGGGGTGTTGGGCCCAGCAGCATTAGCACTGTTGAGGACTTTAGGGGTGGAGGGAGTGAGAGGGGCGATGCGAGGCTGGGTGGAAGAACTGGTTGGGGTGAGAGGGGCAATGCGAGGCTGGGTGGAAGAACTGGTTGGGGTGAGAGGGGCGATGCGAGGCTGGGTGGAAGAACTGGTTGGGGTGAGAGGGGCGATGCGAGGCTGGGGAGTGGAGGGCGTGCTTTTGCTTGCAGACGTTGGCGTCTGAGGGGCTGAAGGAGCTGCGGCTTTAGGGGTGGAGGGCTTCCCCCAGCCCTCCAGGGTGTTGAGAGTGATCCTGCGGGGCTGAGGTTTAGCTTTGCCGCTGGGGGTGCTCTTCTTCTCGTCTGGGGGGGTGACATCCTTGCCGGGTTGGGATGAGGGCGTCAGGGCTGAGCTCGGCAGCGGGGTCACAGGAGATGACGTCCTCGCTGTCGACGACTTCTTGCCCTTTTTCTCGGCAGCACTGCTGGGGGCAAAGACCTCCAGGGTGGGGGGCTCCTTCAGCGGAGTGCCCAGTTCCCCGGGAGAGAAGGACAGGAAGGAGCAGTAACCATCTGTGGAGGAAACAGCCAGGAAGGAGCCGTCACCAGACCTCAATAGGAGAAAAAGAAAAGAACCAAACATGTATAAAATGAAGGTTTAGTTTCCCACTTATATTTTTACAAGTCTTTGTAAAGTGTCCTCCTTTGTGTCACCAAACCTACATCAGTCAGAAGAGCAAAGGAAGTTACTGTCTGTCCAGAGGTCAGATCTGAACTACAGAAAAAGGTGTTTAAGTTTACTTCTCCCTTCACTGGAAACTTATCATAAAAAGACCTGAAACTCCAGGAGCTGGTCTATCCTTTGATGCTTTTAATGTGATTCTAAAAGACTTGGAGGAAGGCTAATTCAGACTGTGGATGTCCTTCCTGATATATTCTTTATGAGGGTTGATTTTGGCATGTTAGTGGCTCCTTGTAAAATAACCTTTCTTAGTAACTCAAAAGGTTTACATCAGTCTTCAGCAGTTAATCAGATGAGTTTAATAAGACTCCTTCAACCCTGCTGAGGCATCATAACAGTTTCTTTTTCACACAGAAGGAGGATTGTAGTCTCATCTGAGACGCAAAGATTTGTCTTCATGTCTAGTATGAGGAGTGGGGAAAAATAAGAACAATGTTTGTAGATAAAGGCTTGAGGTCCAACATTTCCATTAATGCGGCTGTGGATGTAAACTCAATTAAATCAACTGGCAAAGTGCTCTCAAAAATAAATGAATGCAGTGGATTTTATGAAAATGTACTTTGGTACCGGTCTGCTCCAACAGCTGTGTACTGCTCCCAAACATCTCTAATTTATTGAGTGACTGAAATTTGTCTGGTTTTGTGCTCTTGTCTGACTGTATTCACCATTTGGGGATGAAATAATCTCTTTGTGCATATTCATTCATAACTTAAGTGCTGTTCAATGATGCATTTTGAAATGAATCTTTCTGAAAAGTAATGAGCAAAAAAATGTTTTGTTGCGCACTTAAGAGAACTGCACAGAACACAACTTGATCCTCCAACTATTTGAAAATGTCTAAGAAGGCTGAAAGACAGAAGCGGGTCCTGGGTTACCATGTGAGATCGCTGAGTGTGTGGTAGTGGACGTTGGACACCAGGCCGAAAGGAAGAGTCTGCTGCGTGTCGTACAGGAAGATGGAGTCCTCAGACGCCACGGCAAACACCATCCGGTACGGCAACTGGAATACGTTAGGAAGAGGCTGAATAGAGCCATCTGTACAGGAGGAATGAGAAAGACCTTTAACAGAGGGCAGGGAGTAGATTACAGAGGGGTTTGTGTGATGTTGCTTCAGTTCTTGCCTTCTCCCTTCTTGGTCCTCAGTTCAAAGTAGACGGGGCAGCAGCGCACCGCCAGCGTCGCTTTTGATGGGCAGGGCAGATGTGCAATAGGCCTAAAACACACACAGAGAGTTATACAAATCCCAGAGTTAATAGAGAACAAACCATATGACGTGGTTTTGTAGGCCAACCAGGAAGTAACATCTCCATGGCGTCTAATGAGAATTCTCCTCTGGGATGTTTTCATTGGATTTTGGATCATTAATAAATAATCTCTGTGTTAAACACACGTTTCTGAAGCGTAGGCGTTTTGTTCAGCAGGATAATGCGGCCGACAGAAGTAAAAAGCTAACATTATGCTACAAGCTAACGACACCACGGTGGGATGATTGTGACGTCACTAGCGTTATGCTTCAGACGATCTCTGATAAACTAATCCACGTAGTTTAATAAATAGTTTACTAACATAATATTCACCTTAACCTAAAGATTAAACCTACAGGAGACATCTCCGACTAGTGAGAGAGTTCCCGCCCTCTGTGTCCGGCGTGATGACCTTTAATGACCCCGACAACCACTGTAGTCACATTTAGCCGCTTGTTAGCAACCGCCTTTTTAAAGACGAGTAAAAACTTCAAACTTCACAAGTGGAGGTATTACCTAACGTAGTTTATGTGCTCTAACAAAACACCAACATCTCTTCAGCTTGTGTTAACCACAGACCTTATTTCAGGAGTCTAACCACAAACACATTCAAAATCCACGTTGACTTTTAGACGTTAGACCCCATGGAGCTAACATGCTAACTTACTTCCTGGTTTTAGGACTCATTCCTGTGGCGCTCTATACATTCGTATTATATAATACCAGATATGTCACAGTAGTTACCTTTTTAGGCTCTTCCTGGAAAAGATATAGGTGGTGTTAATGATGTTTTCTCCAATTTCCACACATCCAGCTGTGGTAAAAAAAAGAAGGTGAAAACAGAAGAAGGACGTTATGTTTGGTTTATTGAAATTAGCTTATGAAGAATATTACCACATGTGAACATTTCACTACATGACTTCTGCACATTTTGAGCATGCAGTGTAAGTACCTGGTGCAAGCAGGAAAGATCCATCAGGAGTGAAAGAGAGACGTCGGAAAAAAGACCTCATGCTGTCGTCGTGGAACATTCTGTGTTGTTTGACCTGCAAAGATGAAAAGAGATGCAGCATGTAGAGCAGGCTGGTCAGCGTCAGTCGACATAAAACAGGAGCATGAGTCACAACAGACAAGACGTGCTTTCATGTAGCATGTGGTCAGAGAGACGTCAGCGTACATGTTCAAGTAAAAGGTTGGCTGAGGATTTTGCAGAATTTTAAAAAAGTCCAGATTTTAATGTATAGTAACCTGGCTAATTCTGACATAATGCATTATAGAATAGATGTTTATTGCCTTTGCACAGGTACAGGACAGTACAGGTACATTGGAATTTTTGTGCGTTTCTCCCTGAGTCTGCTTCTACAAAAAAGTTAAAATTATATATAAAATAGAATTATAAGAAAAAAAGAGCAGAAAAGTACAAATAAAAATAAGTTGTAGTAACAGCTAAGTGAATTAAAATAAATTTAACAGAAGCTATACCTGTATTAAAACAAAGATATATACAAAAAAAATAACAAAGGGAACACTGAACACTGAAATGAAAATATAAATATGTTTTCTTGTCTCTACTTTCTACATCTCTTATTGCACACATATTTTTCACATTATATAATTACACTGTGTTTTGTTTCTAAGGTTATTATAAAAATGAATGTAGAATTTCAGTCTCAAAAATTGTTTTATGACTCAGTTGATTTGAACAAAATGAAATCTTCTACATACCTCTCCCTCTGCTTGTGGCCCGGAGCTCATCTTACTGACACAAAAAGCCTTCTTTTTGGTGTGGTGCTGTACACACGCATCACTCTGAAGGAGAGGGAAAAAAACAAAAACACAGTAAGCATTATGCTGTGGTTGCCTGATTTAAAGAAGAAAAGACATTTAGTTCATCAGAGGTCTGAAACAGAATGTATGAAGCTCTATTCTCTTACCTGTCACAGCTGAGAGTGGCTACATACTGGCCTAAAGGATCCCAGGTCACCCCCTGCACGTAGCTCTTATGGTCATTCAAAATACAAAGCTTCTGTCCTGAACGGGCACACCAAGAGAGTAACCATCACAATTAATATAAAAAACTAAAGATAACATATTTCATCATTCCACTTATTTAAACATGTTCTGTTTTCTCATCTTCAAACTGATTGTGTTTGTTTTCAGTAACGTCAACACGGTTTGTTTCTCTCTGTGTATAGACTGAATCTCTCTCCTCTAAGGTGTCTAGTCTAGAGCTGTAATGGTTGAATCTGTTCTCTGTGTTGTCTCTTGTTTTGTTTTTTGCTGTTTGTATTACTTTGTTTGTCTCATCTGTAGTGTGTTATGTTTTGGTTTTGTATTGCTGTGTTGTACCTGTGTCTTTGTAAATATATGTTTGGGACCCCCTTGAAAACGAGGTGATACAACTCCTAATATAATAAATATAACATATTGTCAAAGTTTATATCAATGGATGTGAATTACTTACAAAATGTCACAAACACAAAAAGAAAACACAATTTAAAACTGAATATGTATGAAATAGTACGGTGTAAGCAAACCTTTGTTGACGTCCCACATAACAGCTGTGTTGTCCACCGACCCCGACACCATGAAGTTTCCATCCCGTGTCCAGCAGATGTCATACACGTCCTCTATGTGTCCCCTGAAGACAAATCAAATCACCTTTGTTGATTACACTGTTTCTACAAATGTAGATAAAGCAAACAGCAAAACAGAATACCTCCACAAGTAGCTTCATATTTGTTTTCTTGTAGTTCTGAAATTCTGTCTTGTAATTTTAAATGCTAAGAAAGTAATTGAGAACTGTCTCACATTGTTTTGATCGTCAGTTGTGCAATGTGAGTAAAATTGAGCGAGGCAGTAACCATCAGAGAGCAGAAACTAAACGTTCTACAGTTAAACTAAAGACTACAGTGCAGAAAAAGGCAAGCTTACAAAAGCTTAAAGTTGCATATAATGACTCTCTGAGAATACTGTTTAAAAAACCTCGATGGACTAGTGCAAGTGAGTTATTTTGTAATGCAGGAGTAAACACTTTTCAGGCTCTGATGAGAAACTTAATGAACAAATTTATCTGCGATTGAAGGATTCTCAGAATTCCATCATTATGCTGTTGACTAATCCCAGTCATAGTTCTGTGTGATACCAGTCATCCTTGTGGCGACACTGGTACAGTTGTCTTTTATAATATTAGTGATGTTTTGTCTGTCTGTATGTGTTTTTATTTTGCTTGTTTTTTATGTTTTCTAGTGGACTCCTGAGTCTGGCAATAAAGATGATGATGATTCTAAAACTTTGAAATGTTGTCAAGGTTGTTATCAGTTCATCCCGTCTGCACAACTTCAAGATAAACAGTAGAATTAAGTATTTTTTCTAAATGAAATCAATCAGCGATGTGCCTTTTCATTACTGAATGGTCAATGCATTTACTGCCTGATGACAAGACGGCCACGTTTTATCAGCAGTACTATCGCCTGATTGATCTGAACCTCAAAGGCTACAGGATTGAATAAGAGGAGGTTAAATAGGAGTAAAATGTTAAAGAGTTTGGTACCTTAGTGTCTTCACCACAGACCAGCTCTCCTTGTTGAGCTGAGCATCTTCATCCTCCTGGAACATGGCTGCCTGCTCAGGCTCCTTAGAGTCGTTGAGCTTCCACAATAAAATTGCTGCATCTGTATTAAAAAAATCAAAGTTTTATATCTGTTTTTCTTTAGAAGTACTCCCTCTTCAATAACGGCCAATAAACTTTCACACAGCACACATTTGACATCTTACATCTGTGTGTGTGTGTGTGTGTGTGTGTGTGTGTGTGTGTGTGTGTGTGTGTGTGTGTGTGTGTGTGTGTGTGTGTGTGTGTGTGTGTGTGTGTGTGTGTGTGTGTGTGTGTGTGTCATACCGTCTCCTCCTGAGGCGAGCAGCTCTCCATTAGGGCTAAAACGCACCACGTTGACCGCCTTGGTGTGTCTTGCCAGATTAGACAGTAACTCCACCACAGCTTTCCCGTCTGGGCCTGTGTCCACTCGCCACAGCTGCATTAACATCAGACAAAAGGTCATAAAACATGCACTCTATCTAATCCACCGTGCCTGTATATTCACAAGAGCTGCAGAAATGCATTTAGTTTAAAAAGTATTTAATTGCTATATTTGGCAAACATTCATAAAAAATGTGTTTGGCAGGGGAGTCATATAACATTCATTAATCAGTCTGAGGATTAATTGGATTATGCCAATTGTTCATATCTGTCACTTCATTACCAATGATATACGTGTTATAGGGCTGGGAAATATATCGAGTTTTAAAGATATATTGATATATTCAAACAAGATATAGGGTAAGACGATATCGTTAATATGGATATAGTTTATGTTGCATTAAAATAACGTTACAGAGGTGTCAGGTCACCTTTTTCTCATCTCACTGATGATGACTGACTGTCTGCTCCTCCTCTCTCTCTCTTTTATTGTATTTAAGGAACATTTTTATTTTATAATATTACTCTTCAAATTCACAAACAGGTAGTTTATTTTCCATGTGTTTTCACTGTTAATAAAATACATATCCATACATATCGAATATCGCCATTCAGCTAATCAATATCAAGATATGAGTTTTGGTCCATATCGCCCAGCCCTAACGTGTTATGTAACATTCACCTGTCTTAAGACTTTTAAGTATTCTAAAATGAAAAACAAACGATTAAAAAATAGTCTATTGGTTTCTCATAATGAGTACGAGCCCACTTAATCAGGGGTCACCTTTGATGGTAACAGCAGGAAACATAAGATTTCCTATTATAGTAAAAGTATTGCACATAAGTAAAGTAACAAATGTGTTGTCCTGTTCCTAATCAGAATCAGAATCAGATTTATTGACCAGGTATGCTTACATACTGTGTTTTTTTAATAACAATAACTCTTTCCAGTGTAGTTACTGTGTAATTTTCCATTATTGTATTTTTTTATTTAACTGATGTAAATATGTTTGATTTAATTTCTAACTTCTATATTTATTTTTAATAATTATATTCCCGTCTCCTGTTTTCTCGAGCTGCTGTAATGCACAAATTTCCCCCACCGGGGATCAATAAAGTTTATCTTTATCTTTATACATAAGGAATTTAACTTTGGTGAACTGTGCTCTCTTATGTACAGGTACAACATTAAATATCAACAATAAACAGAATAAGAAAAGACTAATATTTACATGACTAAATATGAAACAGTGCAGTGGTGAATAGTGCAAAAAGATGCTGAAGTAACATGATGAGTAAAATGCAGTTATGTGAAAGATGGGTCAATTAAACATGTCAATTACAGTATTTACATAAATAAGTGAGCTTATATCATCATTTAAATTAAATAATATATATATACAGATATGTATGTTCACAGTGAGGGTTGGTTTACAGCCTGGGGGAGGTGTGTCTGTCTGTGAACACATTCAGATGATCTTTAAAGTCATGTAAACACATTTCCACTCACTCTGACTGTGGTGTCCACTCCAGCTGTGGCCAGTCGGTGAAAACGTCCATCACAGCTGTGCTGGAAGTCCAGACTGTAGACTGGCTCTTTGTTGTGCCACGCAATCTCACACGTTACAACCTTCATTTTAAACCTGAAACTGAACACAGTGGACAAACAAAACAAGTCAATCTAAACTGACTCCTTTAAGTTCAGCAGCTAAAACAGAATTGTATTTATATAAACTGTTGGAAACACAGAACTAATAAACACCACAACATAAAGATAAATAACTGAGAAGAGGGCTCACTCTTCAGTCGGTCAGCTAACACGATTAGCATTAATGTTAGCGGGTTTGTGATGATTTGTTGATACATTTAACAAAACGATGCTGTGAACAAACTAACTGCAAGTTTACGATTCGCTACGTTTACACGTCATTAAATATATTTCACTTATTCACTCCTTTTCAGAGAATTTAAGTTTCCTCATACTGAATTCATATTTACCTCCTCTGTAGTCCAGCTGAGGCGCTCAGTAATTTCCCGCGTACGACTCGTTCAAAACTTCCGGCCGAGTGGACCGCAGTGATTGGACAAAAAATGAGGAAGGAGGAGGTTGATATTATGACGCTTTGTGACGTAACGACGTCGAAGATGTTGTTTGCTGGTAGAGCAAAAGAAGCGAAAGTCGTGGAGGAAAGTGTAGAAATTTAACTATTATAGCTATAATTCGCTTTGCTCCAATTTCTTCTTTTGTTTAGATAACCTCAGCTTGTAAACATTCATTCTGCACCATTTATCACGAGTTAGGATCTCCCTCCCTGTACTTAAATTGTGTTTTTTACGTCAAGTTTTACTGCAAAAATGTGCTTTCCCTTTGTCTGTTTCAGCACCTCCTGGAGGTCTTTCTTTACAAATAAAAAACCCCAAAACATTTTCTATAAAAAACACAAACATTAAGTTAAATGGTAAATAAAATAATAATTAAGTCATGCTGCCCGTCTCTACCATTAATATACATGTTCCCATTTTAAAAAAAAAAAACAGTAGACAACTTGTACAGTTGATAGCAAGTAAGATATAATGGTCATCAATATTTTCTCAAATCAGCTCTGAACTGGAAAGGAATGGTTTCCAGCATACCAAACCTATTTTTTAAATTCAAGATATTTAATTATTTTGAGGTTTCTAATTTCTAAATGCATGTCTACTGTACCATTTTAAACAATTGTTCTGTCTGCTTGTTTTGTAGTGAATTTTAATAAATTGTAATTATTTTAAAGTGGCTCTAAGGATTAAGATTTCTTTTGAATAATTGAATAAAAACACTCTACATCCCAAATACATCATAACCAGTATCACTCAAACTGTGTGACTTCAGAGACAGTTAAAATGTGATGATAGATTCTGTTTAATAATGGCAATGTATTAATTCAGCCCGGAGAAGCAGAGGTATCTAATAAAAGGCTGTAATATAAAAGTGCATTCCTTTACCACAGTTATTGTACCTTTCAAAGATTTCTCAAAAAAGAACAGTCTGTTAATGAAAGAAAAGTTAGAGTACCACGCTTTAAGGTTTATTTTGTATCACCCAGAGACATACATTAAGAAAGCTGCCAGCTGCAGCTTCCAGGTGTGCGCTGTCAAAGGTGCACAACTATAACTTACCATAGATCACTTAATTACAATAGCAGAGATATATACTGTAAATATACAAAAATAGTTGGTATGGTCCATAGAAAACATGCTGCAAAACAAACCAAAGAAACAGTCATCTGTCATTGTAAAAAAATAAAAATAAAGTATAATAAAAAATTAGCAGAACTAGATGCAGAGTCAGGAAGACATAAAAAAAATTGATTTTAAAAGAATTGTTTGTGAAACATTCGCAAAGTTCATAAGTGAGTCGACATGATCTGATTCACAAATATCCAGAAGTTGACAGATGCAAGGAAACCAGAAACCTAAAGAGAGAAGTAAACTGACAAAAAAACATTCATGTACATTATCTGATTCAATTATTGATTATTGTCTGCCTGTTTAGTTTAGGAAAAAAAGTGCAAAGTAGCAAATATTGAATGACCGCTTTAGAAATATAAAAACTATTAACATGTTGTTAATTTCAAATAAATACGACTGAATTTCACACAATCATAGTAAAACTGTTATTTGAATTCTGACGGTGTTGGAGAATATCCATGTTTCCCCTGATGACCTTAAAACTTAGGATGATTTATTTATTGATCTTGATCTGTAGGTCAGCCCCACTCGTTCGATGGAATCCATATTACAGAGCACCTGTTCCAAGAGCTCGTCAATGACATTACACTCAAAATTCACTTGTCCCAGGTCCAGATCAGGCACGTAGGAGATAAGAATGCGCCCGATGTTGTGTCGAAGTTCAAGCAAACTGGGGTGGGGGTTGGGTAGATAAAAAAAAATAATAATAATAATAAATAATAATAATAATAATAAAATAAATTTAAAAAAAAGAGATAAATCTTGTTAGTCTGGTTGGTTAAATCACATCATCTTAAATCACATTTCCAATTATTTTCACCATCCAACCTTTTTGATGCATCTGATCCTGAATCTGTTCCTCCGTTGTCCTCTGCATGTGTCCTCACAGAAGAGTTATTGGTCCCCTGAGGAGATACGCGTCTGTCTTGAACGTTTTCCTTCTGTTGCTGCAGGCTCAACCGGAGCTCTTCACACTCAGACGCCATGATTGCTCTTTCCTCCTCAAGATGATTCACCTGGTGGCGTGCGACACAGTAAACCCCAGGTTGAAAGAAAATGAAAGAGAAGAGTCATTTACTACTGCTACTCATTTATTTTATTTATTTATTTTCTGCTTAATTTACAGTGTTACTATTTTTGTGCGAATAATATTATATTTATGTATACAAATATTTTTGTTTTTCTCTGTGATATTTTTGATGTCTTTGTAAACATCATTTGCAGCATCTGATAGTTTGGGGTGGGTTTTTTGTTTAGTTTATTTTCAGTATTGTTCTTATTGTTTGTTTCCTCTCAAAATTGAAAAACTCAATAAATAAATTAAAAATTAAAAATTCAGAGAGATAATGAAGACTAAGTTTCAACAATAAGCTGGAGTGCACACAGTTGACACACACTGACCTGCGAGAGTAGTTCATCCCTCTCCTTGTTTCTCTGATCCAGTTCCCGGAGCAGACTGTCAACCTGCAGCGCTATTTCATCCATGTTGTTCTCTTCAACTTTGGCGGTGCTGGGTTTGCTCTCAGCGGCTTTGTCTTCAATCAATTCATCAACTTTCTGTTTGGCCTTCTCAAACAGACTCTTGTAGCAGCCCTCGTCGCCCGAGTCCTCCGTCTGGCTCGCCTGGTGAGAACACTCCTTCTTGATCTGAGTGAGCTCCTGCAGTCTGCTCTGCATGTCGTGCAGCTGGCAGGTCAGCTGATGGACCTCCTCTTTGAACTTGTCCCTCTCCTCAGCTGTAGACTGCATGAGTCCCAGGAGCTGGTCTTGCTGTTCCTGTACCTCAACTATACTCGGATACACAGCCGGGGCGTGATCTTTATCCTGGGCCCCCGAACAAGAAGGTCCAGCTTCTTCACTGTCCATACAGGGTGTCTTTGTATCGCAGACATCGACGTCTACATCCTCACACTTCTTTTCTTTTTCCTTTAAATCTGCCGTCCTCTGCACCGCCCTCTCTTCCCCTTCAGTTTGACTTTGAGACTCTTCCTCCTTCTTCAGTTTGAATACCTTTGTCTGAGTTGTGCTGCTGGCAAAAGGTTCAGGAACTCCGACGGCTTTCGACGCCACACAGCTCGTTTCTGCGTCATTGGTCTCCATCGCAGCATCATCGCTGCACTCCAAGAGCATGCCGACGTTCGCGTCACTTTGCACTTTCTCTGTCTTCACTTTCGTCAAATCAAAGTCGGACGTTTTGGCTTTGGGTATAGTTACTGGAAGTCTCCAAGATGAAGAGGTCATCGTCGGTTTCATCGTCGTCACCGTTTAGGGACACAGATGGGGAACTTTGTGGACCCACGTCTCCTGATGTGCTCATATTGGAGGGGCCCGTGTGGAAGCCGTTGACTCTTGGTCTTTTAGGAGTCGTTGGTGGAGGAGCAGGCTGTGTTCTTTTTTTACTGCACGACAGACAAAGCACAGATAATTAACTTCATAAAGTAAATTAATGGCACAAAAGAAAATCACAAAAAATATTATACCTCAGGAGGTCAGGTGACAGTGAACATACGCTAGAAATAACTGGAAGACCGGGCGAGCTGCAAACTAGAAAGGAAAAAAAACACATTTTTAATCTGAACACTCACAGACTCTCTTTCTTTACATCGACCTCCAGCAAAGTATGTTGAATTTAAAGTCTTCCTCTGTGATTTTTCACACTGAAATGTAGAAATCAAGTATCTCCTCTGAAAATAACTCTGTGAGTCATGACTGTCTACAATGGGTGTAACACCCGAGTCCCACTGTCTGTGATGTTTTCAGAGTTTTCAGAGTCCTATCTTCACTTTGTTTACATCGCCAGGACGGCCGGCTGACTCCTCCCCTCGTGTATAAAAGTTGTTTAATTGAGGGACTAGAGAAAAGAAGAATAACATACTGTACTCACTGCTTAACTGTGTTTCTAGATCACGCTCATTTCAGGTAAATTTACATGCAGTGTGAAGATACCAGCATAATAAAGATCACTAGCATTAGCATGCTAACACAACAATGCAGCGCGAGTTGTTTTGGTTTCATGCTGGAGCTCAAGGGCGACATCTGCTGGATCAAATAATCACATATAAAGCCTTTAATCTTTTCATATTTAAGACTAGTAATGCTTAGTTAAATCCTGGTTGTATATATTCCCATTCTTAGTTTTGATATTTTTAGTGCTTGTTTACTTTGTATTTAATATTATATTGTGTTTAAATTTGCTAATATTGTGTTTTTTGCTCATATTGTGTGTTTGCACAACCTGCTGCTGTAACACCACAATTTCCCAGTTTGGGATCAATAAAGTAATTCTATTCTATTCTATTCTATTTCTCACAATCACACAGGAAGTTATTTTCTCTTACCAGCTTGTGAGACAGTCTGAAGAATGGATTTAGCAGTTGCAGCACCTCCTCGAGGTGAATCCATGTTTACTCTCTTCCTTGTGTTGGTGTTATTCGATGGTGAATTTGCAGTCTAATCACAACAACGAAATAGAGCACAGATTTTTTATTTTCAATGATTAATATTACGAAACAAATTCCACCAAACCCCTCCCCCCTATGTTAAGTGGAAAACCCTACTGTGTTTCTGAGCTGTAGCTCTCGTTTGAGAGCCTGGTTCTGCTTGGCCAGTTCAGCCAAACACCGCTTTTCCTGACGCTTTAGCTGCTCCTCCTGACGCTTTAGCTGCTCCTCCTGACGCTTTTGCTGCTCCTCCGCCTACAAATTATTATTTTTTTAAAATGTCAAAACAGCAATATCAACCACATGTAAATATCTAATAAGAATAACAATCAATATCAACAGATAAAATAATCTTTATTCTTTAATAAAGGTGTTACAGGTATAACTGTAGAAAACAGCAACCCAAGTTCAATCAAAGCAAAAAAAAGT